CCCCCTTTGACTGCAACAAACGGCCCGAGGTTTTTAACAGTTAAGATTTTTTGATAAGATAGCATCATAAATTTACTTTCCCCAAATTTCCCCCAACGGTTAATTTCCTTCTGTGTTTTAGTTTTCTGAATAAATTTTTTTCAGTGTCATCCAAAATTTTCAAAATTATCATATTAAAACAATTTTCCCCCAATGTATGGTTTTTTTTCCTTTTACAGAAATTTTAAAATGAAATTATCCGGGATTTAAAAAACTTTTTTGGGTGCGGGGTTTGTAAATTTTACCCTTAAATTCACGGTTTTGGGTTTCTTTTGTTTTTGACCGGGAGTTTGTCAAAGCATTTTTGCTTTAAAACCCGCTTTAAACCCGGGGTTTTTTTTAAATTTTTTTTAAGTTTTTTTTTTTAGTAATTTTTTTTTTAAAAAAAAGCCAAAAAACCGGGTTAATTTTTCTTTCCTCATTTTTTTCCCCAAAAGGTTTCCCAATTTTGCCCCGTCGTTATAATTTAAATGGGTTTTCTTTAAATTTTGATTTGAACATGCCCCCCCAAAAATGTCAGAAAATAAAACCCATACCAAAATTTATCAAAAAATAAAATGATTTTCATGAAAATTTTTTAAAACACTTTTTTTTGTTTTTATACAAATTTAAATTTAAAATAAACTCCTTTCGAAATTTTTTTGCCTTTATATTGGGTGTGTGATTTTTTAAAAAAGGGGGTCTTTCGGGGCCTTTAAACACCCCCCGTATTTTGGTTCAAACTTTAAATTAAAAAAAATTGGTTTTTAAATTTCGTACTTTAGCTTTTATTAGTATTAGTATAATAGTTTTACTGATTTTGTAATATATTACATGAATGTTTAAATTTTGGGGAATAACAAAGGACAAAAATTGGGTTATGCCCCAAAAACTTAAATACGATGTTAAAAAATTAGGGGTCTATGTGTTTCCCAAAAAGTACTTGAAAGCCTTTTTAGAAAAAAATGTTTATAGTTCATTGCTTTAAAAATAAAAAAATATTTACCTATTTTGGGACGTTTCGCTGTGATTTTTGCCTTTTTGTTTTTAAAATATAAAACCCCGAATTGCTAAAAAAATTTAACAAAGCGAATTCAAAAAATGGTGAAAAATATAATGAACGCTTTGTACTTTTAACAATGCTTATAAGTGGGAAAAAATTAAATTTGTTTTTTTAAAATGCATTTGATTCAAAAAAATCCTTTAAAACATATGTAAAATAAAAAATTTACGGGGTGGAATTTAGGGAACCCCGGGCATTTTAAACAGTTCCATGAAAAAAACTGTGTTTCAAAAACCCCATCCCATTTTTTTTTTGGGGAACACTTCTTTTTTTTCCCCGGCCACTCATTTTTTTCCAAAAATTATGGTTGTTTCCTTTTTTTCTTTTAAATTATTTTTTTTTTCTAAATGTCCTGTTAAAATAACTTTGTCTGAAATATTCATCACTTAAAAAAACATTTTGTTACAATGGTTTTTAATCTACTCGATCTTAGGGAAATATAATTTGGGAGTTTAAAGTTCTTCATTTTTTTCCCCGTTTTCCGTTGCCCTTAAAAAGATTAAAAAATGCCTTTTTTTAAAAAGTGGAAACCTAATTTTGCTGCAAACCCCGAATCCCCCATATAAAAAAGGATTTTGTTCTGTTTAAAATTTTTGAATTTCCATTTCCCAAATGTTTTCCCCCATCTTCAAAATCCGTACTACTGGGCAGGAAATTTTAAACCACATATTTTTTTTGTTTTTTGACCAGTGGATTTTAGCAACGTTATTTTTAATAACAAGCCCACTTTTTGGGTGTTTTTTTTTTAGAAATTTTTATCTTTCTCTTTTGTTTGGGCTTTAAAATGCACCTAAAAGGCCAATTAAACCAAAAAAGTTTTTTCCCTTTTTTTTTCGACAAAATCCCTGGACATTTTTTTTAAAGATTTTTTTCTTTTCAAAATGGTTTTGCCCCTTTAAAGATTTTTATCTATAAAATTTTTTACAAAATGACAGAATCTCTTTTCAATACAATTTCTTTTAAACGAGAAAACCGATAAGTCTTTTATTTACATACCCCTTTTCAGGTAATTTTGAATCTATGTTTCCTAAATCAATTCTCAAATTCTTTTTCTGATCCCCCTTTTACTTTGTGTCAAAACAGAAAAAGAAATTCTCAATATTTTTTAAATAATTCTTTGTTTTTTTTTTCCCTTGTGGTTTAAAACTTTTAATTTGGGCTTAGTTGGCATTTATCAAAAAACCCTTTTTCACTTTTCTTTCTACTTCACAAACATTTTGGGAATGTGAGAGAAGACATAGGAAGCTCTTAAAAAAGTAGTTCCTCAACCAGCGAGAAAAATTTTAGTTTTGATAACCCCGCTTTTATGAAAATTGAAAAAAGATTTTTAAAACATTCACATAAACACGACATGCCCAAGAAAAACCCCAAAAACAGACCATGGGAAATTTAAAAAATTTAAAAAATGTAAGTGGGCAGATCGAATTTTTTAAATCGCAAATGGGGCGTAAAATTGAAAAGATTTTCTCCTCCGTCCAAAAATTTCCCCAATTTTTTTGAAAACAGATGCCCTCCCGTATCTTTAGTAAAATTTAGAATCCCCAAGGGGTTAGTCGTCTTTTATCATTTAACTTTAAAAAGTTCTGTTTTAACCCCTATTTTTGTTTGCGGTTTGCCCCCAAATATTTTCCCTATTCCCCCGCAATTGGGGAAAAATTTGGGCATTTTTTCAAAAATCGATCCCTCGTCTAAGTCCCTTATTCGTCCTTGTTTCTTAATACTCTAATTTTGTGGGTTACAATCTTGGGAATTGCACCAAAACTTTGCAATTTTAAACTTGTTTTTTAAAATTGGTTTTTGCTTGGTTTTCCTTTTTTATCGCATTTTTCCACAAAATTTTCCCATGGAAAAAGGTCGCCACACTGCCAAAACACCTTTTGCCTGCACTTCAACCCTTTTTTCCCATGGGTTTTTTTACAAGTGGTTTTATTTCACAAAATTTTGCCATTTCAGTCATTTAAAAAGCTTGGGTTTCCCTATTTAAATTTTTTGTTTAATTGGGTTTTTTTCTTTTAAAAAATATTCTTTCCCGCCTTGGCTGTTCGCAATTTTTCTTTCAAATTTTCCCGTACAACCGGGAAAAAAATCCACATTTAAAACCCTTTTATGAGGGCCAATTAAGGTACAAATTAAAATTTATTACTAAATTTTTGCCCTCGGGCCCCGAAAACAACTTTCCAAAATGGGCCCCTTTTCAGGAATGGCCCCCATGGGTTAAAAAATTGGTTTTCAAAGGGTTTTTAAAAATACGGTGTAATGGGCCCCCTTGGGGGGGATTTTTTTGAAATAAAAGCAACTTTGTTTTTTTCCAAAAGTGCATTTCTGGGGCAAAATAACGTCAGAAATTTTAAATTTCAGGGGACTGGTTTAAATAAATGTCCACATTTAAGTGGGAAGGCCCACAAACCCATTTTTTCAGCTTTAAAAGAAATTAAAATTTCCGTTTTACGGCATAAAAAAACGTTTCAAAAAGGCCCCCCAAAACTGCTAGTTGCAACCTTTTATTGAAAATTTCATTTTGTTTGCTGGTAACAAAAAAGGGTAAAAATAACATTCCAAATTTTTAAAGTAACCCTTTTTTCCGGGGTTTCCAAAAGGCCCAAAAGCACTTTCTGTACATTTTCTTTTGATATGTTGCCCGCTTTAAAGCCTTTAAACGCAGGTTTCTGAAAAAATGGTGTTTTTTTAAGTCACTCGAACAAATTTTCCAAAACGGTATGTCGGCATTTTGGAAAAGAGACTCTAATTTTTTTTCAAGCAAAATGTTTGAAAAAAACTCCCCCTTTTAAAAACTTGGGGCCCTTTTTACAAAATTTTTGGGCATGGCTTTTTCCCGGATATTACATTAAGGTTCATTTTTTATTTTTTTAAAGTTTTTCAAAAAGGGAAAGTCCCCATTCTAAACGGTATCCCCTAAATTTTTTCCCGCCCCCTCCCGCTGGCGCAACTGGAATCCTCCGGCCCCTTTTTTCATTTTTTTCCCTCATCGTTTGGATTTATTTGGCAGCGAAGATGGGAATGCCCCTTTCCCAAAAATTTCCCTTTTTTAGACTGTTTTCAAATATAAATTTTTCCCCTTTGTTACTGCTTTTATTTGTAAGGTCGCAAATTTCCTAAATAAAAAAAACCCTTTTTTGGTTAGAAAGAGCAACGCAAAAATTTGGTTTTTCTTTTGGGAAGTAGCCCCATTTTTTCCCTTTTGATGTTACTTCTTATAATGACAGTAGTATGATATCAAATTTTTTCCCTTGTAATTTTCAAAAACCTTTAATTGTAATCTTTTAAAATATTTTCCTGTTGAAGCATTTTCCCCCTTTTAAAAGAAACCACTGACCCCCCTGTAGGTTTTTAAAATAGTGGTTTGAAAGGCCCTCCCTAAACCTTGAAAAAGTAGATTAAATTTCATAAACAATCAAAAAACCCAAACTTTTGTATTCATTTTTTGTAACTTCTTTAACCCCCTCAAATATTTTCCCTTTTTCGGGAAAAAGATGAATAAAAATACTTAGTTTTCCCAAACCTTTGATGGTTTTTGTTTTGACACATTTCCCTGTCTTCTAGATTTTTCCCCAAAAAGTTCTCAAAATTATCTCTATTTTAGGTTTTATTCTAAAGCTGGGTTCTCAAAACAAATTTCATTTTTATACCATTTTTCCCCCTTTTTGAAATAGTGATAAATCAATTTAGTTCTTTTTAGCATGTATAAATTTGGGCTTAGGTTTTTAAACCCGTTTTAGGTCGCTCATCATCAAATAACTGTTACATCCTTTAAATAAGATTTTAAAACCAAAGGGGTTCTAAAAATCTCTGCCCCGCTTTTCGAAATAAAAATAATCGGGTGGCCCTTTATCTTTTTCGGGGACTTTTATGATTTGGGTGCCCCTTGTGGTTTTTCATACCCAAAAACGTTTAAAATCCTTTAATATAAACAATTCTTTTCGTCTTTCGATTCCTTTTGACGAGTTACACTTGTTTGTAAATTCTCCCAAGGGTCTTTATCCATGGTTTGTTGTATTTGATTACATTTACAATGTACCCAAAACAGATAAAGAGCCCATCTCTTTTCTTCTGAGAAATCTTTGCACATTATATCTTTAACAGACAGAGCTTCAGAGTTTGTAAAAGGTTTTACTGTTTGGAGTTTGTTTTTTAAATGCTTAATTAGCATTTTCCTTTCAAGGGCAATTATCTTTCTTTTTCTGTGATTACAACTGGCTAAATCAATATTTTTTACTTGATCAAAGTCTAAAGACAATTCATGTCTTCTAAAATTGTTAAGTTCTTTTTTATCGTCATCATCAAAAAGATTTGTCTCATCAAAAGTCATATCTACCATTGCTTCCCGGTTTTCTTCCCAGAAGAGGTCATCAATTCTTTTGTCCAGCATTATATCTTTTGCTTTGTGATGATCCAGATAGATATTCTTTTGTACTTCTTTTGCTGTAGTAATTATACCTAGCCACTCGACGATACAAGATTTGCCTAAAAATGCAAGCCACGGAAGTGGACTAGACTTATAGTATCTGGAAAACCTTTCAAACTGTTTTCTATGCTTTTCATTCATGTAACTGTACAAGAAATTTTCATGTACAATGTTTTCTTTAAGAAGTCTTATCTTTTCAGACTTCAAGTTTAGTTTTCGCTTTAGAGGTATCACATCACCTAATGCATTAGCACGACCTCTTTGGATAAACGTTGGGATTATTTTATTTTCCCGATATTTTTGTTTGATACATTTAAGATTAAATTTGTCTAAAGCCTCATTTCTACTCCTTCCACCAACCCTTACTATGTTTCCCGTGTAAAAAGAGCATATACCTTCCATAAATTGGTCAAGCGCATGATTTGTATAGCAAATAATTAGCATCTGAGATCGCATTCCGTACTCCTGTTGCCATTTCCGTCTGTTAAAAAGCAATGCTTTTGCTATTAACAACCCTATGTGGGTTTTTCCACATCCAGGTGGTCCCTGAATTAATGTAAAATCCCTAGTCAGTGCTGATTTGAGAGCATTTAATTGCGATGCATCAAGAGGAATCTGGTTATCAATTGGCCATTCTTGTTCCAATATCTTCACATCTGTTGTTGATTCGTTATAATTAAGGAAACCATCATTTCCAAATTTAAATTGAGACCGAAGTAAACACTGAAGATCCATCGTTATCTCACATGACTTTCGCAGCAGATATTTTGGAGGCGATGTTTCGTTTTGGCATTTAATGATGTATTTCTGAAACGGAAAATTTGTATCCATTATGGTCTGCAGACTAGATAATACGGGTCGATAAGCCTCAAAATAAGCAGTGGATTCAATCATCGTAAATGTTGCTCCTTGCAAAAACTGATCTTCTTCTGGACTTTTGAAGAATTTCACATGCACACGCCCTTTCCTTCTATACCTTGTATTGCTGTCAACAATAACTGCGAAGAAACATGTTTCGAAGTTATCGGCAGTCAAACAAACCAGAGAACCGTACTTTAGGCGTTTACTAATGTTCCATCGGACATGACCCAAATTACTTACATCAAAGCTAAGGATATAATTAACACCGTTTCCACAGACCGGTGAAATAATTTGCGTATTTCCATATACTTTGATATCCTTGAGCTTTACATTACTGTTTTGTATTTTTCTGTATTTAAATTCTCGTATCCCTTCTCTTAATGGCTCCACAAAATCTTCTCGCAGTAACCGGAATTGTACATCAAGGTAATCATCAATACTTTCATATCCTCCTTTGGCTTTATTTATTCTAAGTCTGGGCTTTATGTCTCCGTTCAAATCGCCAATACGGGGGAAAATTGGTATCTCCCGAAAATTTTCATCAGAACCATTGTCACTGTTATTCAGCTCCTGAAGTTGTTTTCTACTTCGAATAGTAGACCCTTGTACGGCATGCTCTAGTTCTTTGAATAACTGTTTTATATATTTAAGATACGTCTGGATCAATTGAATTCTTGTAGTCTCTATTAAGGTTTCCCTTCTTTTACACTCAGAATCACCACTTGAGTTGCTAAGCGAGTCAACATCATTACTTATGTCAGACAACATATCACTTGTAGCATCTATGCATTCATCTACTAGGCTAGATCGTTCACTTTCATCATTGTTTAAATTTTCTGATATGTCTGGTGTCCCTTCTGTAGGAGCGGCATTTTCTAAATCTCCAGGTCTTTGTCTATCTTGTACTGAAATTTTAATTACGTCTATCATTTCTGATATATCAGCCTTGCAGGCAAATATAAACGTTTTTGAACATTGGCTCAAAGTACATACTCGAGTTACTATTCGAATCAAAGTGCAAACTACATCAAGGTTATTTGAATAGTCTTCCATTAATTGCGTAGTTTCGAAGAACAATTTTAGCATTGTTACTGATTTGCTTATGAACTCTGTTTCTTCCATTGCCTCTATAATATTCAACAGTAATCCTGGTGTTATTTCGCTCTTGAATGCTATATCAATGTTCACTAAGCATCTGGTAAGTCTATTGACAGTCTCCGTCGAATATACTAGATAATGCTTAAGCGATTCAAATCGAGCACCTAAAATAATCGACAGTTCATTTGGATTTTTTGTGTCTAGTTGAGCAACGATTTGCCTGATCTCATTTCTGCAAAATGAAATAAAAATGAAAATGAAACGTCATTTGTTCATGCATTCTATTCACATTTGACTTTCAAATGTTTTTATTTCTTTATTTAAAAGTAAACAGGCACCACAGCAATTGTTTTAATTTACTAGCTGCATCTCTTTTATGGAGCATTCATGACATTTATAGCTTTCACAATCACGGAGTATCCCTTAAATTAATCACAATTTAAGATAACAAAACGGAATGAACAATTTGATCAGAACGATATCTTAAATTATATAAATATATCAAAGACGCTAACATATGAATATACTAATTGAAATAAATATGGCAAGCTAAGCAGGAACATTAAAGAAAACATAAAATAGGAAACAATAAAGTGATGGTGGTAACGCTCTGGCACACCTAATTATCAACTTTTAGTATGTAACAAAGTAAATTCATTTCAAATGAGCAAAGGTATTTTATTGGTTCGTCTTTTACACTTTACATTGCTTTCTTTGTTATGCTACGGATATGGAAAAAGTAAATTTCTTT